GGAAGGAAGGAAGGCAAGAAGGAAGGAAGGAAGGAAGGAAGGAAGGATGGATGGATGGAAGGAAGGAAGGAATTAGGGAGGAAGGAAGGAAGGATGTAGGGGGAGAGGGAGGCAGGAAGGAAGGACGTAGGGAGGGAGGGAGGGAGGAAGGAAGGAAGGAAGGATGGATGGATGGATGGATGGATGGATGGATGGGGAATTTGCAAATTGCTCATGTTTGTTCATTGTACCCCTTGATGCTGTTTCACAGCGATCTGGATGGTGGGAGCTGCTAAGGTTAGGTCCAGATGCAGAGGAGAAGCTTGCCAAATCGGCTCCTTGGCATTGGTTGGATTCTTTTTAGTCAACAGAAGAAAGGACGCTAGTGGATTGATTGGCCGGCGGCCGCCAACATCCCACAGCCAGCTAGCTGCATTTTTTGCGTAGAGACCGAGACCAATGCCCCAATCCAGACCAATCCAGCGTCAAGGCGACGTGGCAAACCAGCACTCAAGGCCAGCACTTTCTTGTGACTCGTAATGCAAAAGAAAGACTTACAGCTGGTAAGCGACCTCTTGGACTGCAAGCGACCTCTTGGACTTGTACTTTGAAATCAGTGTATGCGGGCGAGAACCAATTCCGTTACCTTCATTTTCCAGGCTCCACTACTGTGGCAAGCCCTGACCCAGGCTGCAGTGTTTGGATTATTGTTTTTTTGAGGCCAGCCTCAAACTAGCTCAAACTAGCTTGGGAATCATTGACACAACTGGATCAATAATTTCTTCCTGTGGTGACAGGAATTGAGGTCATCTCCTGGACCTTTGCGAGAGATTATGAGAGTAGGAGCTTGCAGGCTTGCAGTAGCACTAGCTATGCCTGTGACAGGCATCAACACCTCTTTGCCGTCTTCCCTGGGTTTGGAGGATTGCGAGAGAGCGTGCATTTTAAAGTTGCAATTTGAGAATGGATTCTGTTGCTTTCCACTTCATACAGAACACTTATGTCTTCTCCAAAGTAAAGCATGAGTGACGCTGCACTGGACTTGCTTTGCAGGCACTTTTGGAGGACACACTGAACATGGCAAATGCCAAGACAGGTTCCGTGCCAAGAAAGCTAGCAATGGAGGACCGTTTAGTGCAAGCACTGCCTCTTCTAAACCCTCCTACAAGAGCAAATGGTTGGCGTGGCTGCATTTAAGGCATCCTCTGTGATGATGGCACATCAGAGGCATGGACGAGCCGGTTCACGGTTCGCCTCAAGTCATCCCGAAGGAACCGGGATCAAGAGGTGCAGGCTGCGGGTCAAACTCAGGGCACCATCAACCTCAAATAGCTGAAAACGACCCCACCACGACCAGACGAAGACAGAGATCCATCCTGCCACCCAGCGTCACAGCAGGTGCTACCCTGAGAACTGAAAGGCAGGAAACGGGTCCTACTGGTTACCAGGGGTCCTACCAGATGAACATCCACAAATTGAACGAGAAGAGTCGACATCCAAACAAGATTAATACACACGCTAGCCACCACACACACACACAAAGCCGTTCAATCATCCCAAATGAACCGAACGCCCTACGAGGGATGTCAACCTGTGGGAAACAGGGTCTTTTGACCCACGCCGCAACACCAACGATGGAGGTGAGCCGATTTCTGCGGCAGCACCGGCATCTTCCGCAGGCCTGCGAGAGATGGGGGGATCATGGGGATTCACAGACCAATGTCAGCCCTGACGGCATCAAAATGTCGTGACCAAGGGAAAGCAGGCAAGAAAGGGTTTGATGGTGTAACCTGGTTGTTCCATGTCGAAGATCATGACCATGTTTGAGGCTCAGCAAGTGCTTTCCTCCTTGCCCTCAAGGTGGGGGGCGGGATTTCAATTTTCCGGAAACACACGGGAACACCAAGACAGCATATATATATATATCGTTTTAGGGGGGTAGGCCGCTAGGAGGTAGGTTACTAGTCGTAGCTAGGTAGCTAGTACCTACAAGTAAACTACTAACTGGACGCAGGATAGCGCTGCACTAACTAATGATTTTGAAAGCCCAGCGGGCCCAGCGGGCCTAGCGGGCGCTTGTGCCAGGCCCTTGCGCTGCTTCAGGGCCGAGGTTCGGAAGGCGCCACTGACATCGTCGAAACCGGTTTGACGAGTTTGATCAGTTTGATCCACAAAATCGACCGAGGCTGGAGAAAACTGAAAACCTCTGAAACCTGCCAAAGGCACCAATTAGCTGCTAGCTGCACGAGAAGGGCAGGTGTTTCAGGGAAGCGGGAAGCTGAGGCCTTGCGAGAAGCGCATGGCACTTTTGCGGTGCGGGGCCCAACCGTTGGTTTTCGCGGGGAAGATGGATCTATGAAAGGGTCAGGACCCAAATAGGCAGACATCGACCGTTGGTCCGTGAAGGCCGAGAATGTCAACAGAATGGTTCCAACATGGCCTAGACATCTGAACGAAACTGAGCCTCCCGACATCGACCGATGCACCAATTTGGCCACCCACATCGAGATGGAGGGGCGAGTAGCGAGCTCGCTTCACCTCAGTAAGTTCCAAAAAACCAGAGAAGGCCACAACGATGAGCCTCATATAGCGAGCCCGCCTTTTTCCTGCTTGAGTCCAGTGTCCTCCCCTTGGGCTTGCTCGCCTTCGTCGCCCGTGTGCGGAGGCGATTTGCAAGGCTTTGGATGGCGGCCACGGTGTGATCGCCTTCGACGACTTCAAGGACGAGGTCCTCCGAGGCGCAGAGCCCTCACTTCTCGGTGACCGGGAGATCGAGGAAGGACGGGAGGACTCCTTGGTTTGGGGAGATCCAGGACGCCTCCTAGTTTCTTGTTTTTACTTTTTTTAACGTTTTCCCGCAAGTAATGGCTGGCCTGGTAGTGGAGATAGACCGATTTGGAGGTGTCCTTTGTTTGTGCAAGATATTGATCCCAGACAACAGAACCTTGTCCCCTTTGCATCCTCTTTGCAGTTGGTGTTCACTTTCCGCTGGACTCCGACCTCCACCACTTCTGGCAAAGCCTCAGTCTGGATGGCAGGCAAGGTCGCATGGCATGTCATAGCTTTGGAGACTTTATGGCAGTTTGGCCGCTTCTTTGGACAATCATTCTTGACCAGGTGCATCTCCGTGGAAGAGCTTAAACAATTTCTTCTGCAAAAGACATAGTGCGAGGTCAGGGAATTGGCAAAGCCAGCAAAGCTGCGCTCCCTGTACTTTAATGTGTTTTCGTCATCCACTGGGCGTGAATCTCCCGTTAGACCAGTCAAGTCAATTGGTTGTAGGCCCAGTTGATGACTCATGCCAGTGCCAAAGCGCCGGTGAGAGCCAGTGCCAAAGAGCCGCCTCACTGCCCTCGACGATTGCACGGAGCTCGCCTATCGTGGGTTTTTGCAGCGCAGGATCTCAAATTGATCTGTCGGCTTCCAAGAGCGGCTCATGGAAACAACGAGAGGCTTCTTCATCCCCAAAAGGCCTCGAAACTGAGTGCAACATCCAAAGCAATGAAATGCTGTTCATCCACCTGCCAATGCACACAGCAACTCGTCTCACACCGCAGTAGAAGAGAGTGCGAATCGAAAAAGGATCCAAAGATCGCATTCATTCACAACACGAGCTTCCCACAGACCGAAGTTGCCACAATGCAGCTAGATCTTGAGACCCCTTCAGCCATATTTGACATCTCATGTGCATAGTGGTGGTTTAAACAAGGATCCCGATTCATGGGCCCATTGGTGTAGTTTGTACTGCCCCGACAAAACCAGGTTCCCCTCAGCCTGAAACATACCACATAGGTTTTAGGCGTTGTAGGCCTGCAACGGGCCGATTTTTTGTTTGGAGCAGGTCCTCTTCAAGCGCTCCAGCGCCATGCGCCAAGGAACTCCCGAGAATTCGAGAGACATGTGGGTAGCAAGTCGCTAGCATGTCGCATAGAGGAGATAAGAGGTTTAGTCAATGCAGGAACTACTTGAGCCTCTTTCCTCTCAGCATGGTTTTGTTTGTCTCTCACATCGCCAAAAGGGTCTTGCTTTCAACTCCAGGGCCCTCGCTTTAAAAGGCTTGGACCGACCAAAAGGGCTCAAAAACCAGCTGCTTTTGGACACCAAGGCGAAAAAAGCGGAAGAGGTGCCGTTCTTTGGGAGACATGGTTCGCTTGCCGATTTGGAAGACTTGAGATCGCAAAGGCTACCGTTTTCCGTGCCACAAAAAACTACCCATTTCCGAACTCACAGGCAATGTCAGCACTTTGATCTTTTTGCAGTTGTGCTTTTCTGGGAAGCATATATCATATCCTTCCTAGTGTTTGATCAACTGCTGCTTTTCACCCAGCTGCCTGGCTGTGCAAAAAGGATGAGGCTCAACAGTGATGGTACAAGTTTCAGTACATCATGTTCATCAACAGCTGATTGAATTGATAGTTCCAGCCAGTTTTCTCATTCTATTGTCTCTCTGACCTTTTTCCAAAGCCATGGCTGCAAGTGTCGCCGAAGGAGACGCGGAAACCTCAGTGGGGAACACCTCAACACTCAACAAAAATCCGACGAAGAAGACGCCGAAGACCGTCTCGAGTGCAGATGTGCTGTGCTTTCGGTAGTGCCGAAAGCACCCCTCCATATGCCTGGGGGGCTGCTGAGTGAAACGGAGTGTACTTTCGCAAGAGATCGCCGTTCGACTCTCAGGGAAACGCAAGCCACACGAGCCTGGCGGCTGAGGCGCAGTGGTAAGTCACGTGTGTGTGTGTGTGTGTGTAGTGGAAAGTCCATGCAAATTCTGAGATTTTTCTTTGCCGTTTGGCCAAGCGGCTTTTCTGATTGGTCACACCTGCGTCACGCCGTTTGCCGTTTGGCTGTTTATGCCCCGCAAGAGTTGTTCTCACACAGTCCTGTTGGTGGCAGTCTGATTGTAATTATGTTTGAAGGTTCAGTCCTTGAGATCAGAAGCCAGGTGCTGCAAATATCCAACTTGCTGGCACAGCAGGCCTCTGACAAGGATGGTGGCTCGTGCGCGGGTCAGAGCTATTCTGCGCCAAATGGTTGTTGGTTGTGGCTTGATGGAGAGCAGTTTTACTAGACTTCATTGCAGAAGGCTGGCACCAAGGGCTTTTCCCATGGTTACCCATGTGTTTTCTGTAGGTACAAGTTCTCGATGAATGACCTCGCGGATGGAGGCAGTCGAGCCCTCAGTTCTTGGGTCGGGCCACGACTGCATATCGAATGGCACGGAGTATCTCGTTGACGACAGGCGACGAGAGCTTTGAGTTGAACAGAGACGATGCGCTCCAACTCATTGGACTGTTCCTCAGATGCGATCCACATCACTGACACAATAGGATCAATAGGACTCATTGAATGTTCTATGTCTTCGTGAAGACATAGCCGCAGGATGCCGACTCAAGAAACATGTCGAAAAGTCTTCAATCATGTTTTTAAACGTTTGTCAGCCGCCTCCAAACGAGTCTGCTAGGTCCACAGGTGTGCTATACACTCGCCGTCGCCGCAAAGAAGCCGTGTTGCGGCGACGGTCGCACAGGTGTGCTCAACTCCAGAGAGTCAGATCTAGCACGACGAGAGCTGAGCCGGTTGCTGAGCAACCTCCTCCTGAGCCGTTCTTGAGAGCTGTTGGGCTACGTTGGGTTCAGACTTAGACCCGATTGGGCGGGACATGCTACAACTATCGTGACCCCACATATCAGTCTCTATTTGGGGGATGCATTCCTTCGCAGTTCCTAAGGTTCCCTGATTTCGCGCATGGACCGCCCTGCGGTGGAAGGTCGGGTTAGACGCCCCAAATTAGCGAAACTCAGGGATGCACTGCGCAGATCACAACGGAGGTTTGTATGGTTACAGGTTCTGTTCACTTTTCCATCTCTTGTCTCCAAACCTTCTTTTTGAAAAGGTCATAGTTCCAGTGAGCGCGATGTTGGAGACTGTTTGACGAGCTGTGGTGGCTGTGGCACAGCTTGTAGGAATGGTCCGCCGGCTTTATGGTGTGTTGCAGTCGACATCTCAGCTTCACGCAGTGGCGAAGCTGTGTCGCAGTAGGTGATAGTAGGTGGTTTCACCTAGAATGGGAAGCCCCCCAAGCAAGGATTTGACCCTTCTTTGTCGGGATCTTCCTCTTTTTTTCACATATAGTTATTTTGCATTGCGTCTCTTGTGCCTCATCAGAGTTTCGGGCAAGAGAAGCGAAACCCAGGCGAAAGAACCAGGAACTCACACAGCTCGAAAATGAGGTGTGGCCAGACTTGAGTCTTGAGTTGGCTTTCTGAGGAACACTTGCTATCCACAGGGTGACTCACTAGGGCCTAGGGCTCTGAGATGATATGGAAAAGGTCTATGATAAGTAGTTTCAATCTAGTACGTGATCCTATGCTTGTAACTGCGATTCAAACCGATACGTGGCCCCTCCTTGCATGTGGCGAGCCTGAGCTGAACAAGATCCTTGACAACAATGCTTTCACACTCCCACCCTTTGGCGAAATGCATTGACTTCAGGCTGCCAAAAAGTCGAAAGGGGGTCCCGCTGACATGGTTGACGATTCAGACTCAGACCCAAACATGGCTGGATAATTTTTGCCAAACATGTCGTGGGGTTTCGCGGAGGGCACGTTCTCTTCAAACAGTGCGGACTTGGAACCCTCATTGTCATGTCATCATTCTTTACAGGTTTGAGAAAACTGATCCGGAAAAGCATCAATGCGGAAATGACATTTGAACATGTCATCATGTGCTCTGAGGTTGGAGGCCATCGCTATTAGGTTGGAGGCCATTGCTACTAGGGTAGGAGGCCATCGCTATTAGGTTGGAGGCCATCGCTACTAGGGTAGGGAGGAGGCCATTGCTGCTAGGGTTGGAGGCCATCGCTATTAGGTTGGAGGCCATC